ACTAATTCTAATCTTATTTATAGTCTATCACATTACCCAAGGGTCAATCAATCATTATTTACTTCTACAATACTCACATTATCTCAATAAATGAAGTTTTCCCTCCAATTACCCCTAAAGCAATTTTTATGCTAAAGGTCCATTTTTGTTGTACTAAAGATTCACAACCACCACAATTGATGTTTTAGAATAACAATTTCATGCTAGAAAGTATTGGTTTACAATCTAGAAGCAATTCTAGGGGATAATACACCTTCACATAGGTTTTCCCATAATTTCTTGAACCTAAGATTCTGAGAGGGGTGTTCATTTGAAGTTGACTCCAATAAAAACTTATACAAAAACTCAATTGGTAAGGATATTTTCAACTCAACTTTATGCTAGGGATTTTGTATGACCTTAGTTCACATCTAATTAACTCCTATACTAAAGAATTTATCTTAAAACCTATAAAATATCAAATTTCATTGAATCGGTTTGACGTGTTACAATAAACAAAGCAATTGATATCTCGGGGTCAATTCATATTGAAAGAAAATTAAAAATTAAAACTCTTACATATTTACCACATATATTTAGCGTAATAACGGATTGGATCGTTACAATAAGATTTTCCTATAAGAAGCTTTTCAGGGAATTAGAGGTATATGTGCATGGAAAGCTGTTGGATATTTTTGTCATAATTAAGTGACTAAGGGATTTTTTAGGAGGAAAAAATGTAATCCCTGATATATTTTACTTATCATATTTTTCTTTGCACCTTTCTTAAAAATAATAACCAAAAAAATAATTTGACTAAATTTTTTTTAATTTAATAGATCAAATTAATAGTACTCTATTTTCACCATATAAATTGAGTAAAGATAAATGTAGAAGAAAATAACTAATTATATCTTGATTTTCAAAAATAATAATTATTTTGAACTACTACTTTTAGTAAATAGGACAACAAAAATAGATTAGATGGAGTAAAAGAGATGTGATAAAAACGAAAGAGTTCTTTGAAAAGAAAAGAAAATAGTTGGAAAGATAAAAATATTAAAGATTATTGATGAAGAAAAGATTTCTTGAGTAGAGGCGAAATTTTGAAATGACACAAAAGTGATAGATATGTAATAGTGACATTTAAATTTTTTTAAAAAGAGAATTCTTTTTTAAAAAGTAACGGTGATAGATGTGTGATGATAATTGTTAAATTTTTTTAGAAAGTGATTTTTTTTTTAAAAAAGAAAGTCATAAAAGTGATAGAAAAGTAATGATAAAATAGATTTCTTGAGTATATTTTTTAGAGAAATATAAATATAAGTTTAAAAAAATTATTAAAATATTACCCGTATATATATATATAAACACACACCAAACTAACAATTAGAGGAAGATAATGAACTAAATGGTAATTACAAAGTTTGACTTATATATATTTGGCAACAACTTTTAAGATTGACACATTGAATTTTCGCTCTAATTTTATTTTCTTATCAACTAAATTAAGAAGATTACAAATGATAAATCCATTGTTTAAGAAAATGCACTAAAATAAAAAACTAGAGAAAAATGCTTGAATTTTTTCAATGTTCTTTCATAAATTATAGTGGAGTGATTGAGATTCCTTCATCCTTAACAGAGATACTAAATATCATATTGAAAACCAAAAAGAAAAGAGAAAAAAAACGATACAAAGAACAATATTTTGTCATTAGTTTTTCCTTGAAATAATCTAAAGTAATTGAAAAGAACTAAAATAAAATAGCAATAAATGTTGTACTAAAAATCGATTCTTTTATAGTCAAACTTTTTTACTCCGATCAGATCATCATAATCATGTTATCAATGTGTATAAAAGGCTAATTATTTTTGTCATGAAGGAGTGATTGAGATTCCTCCATCCTTAATACGGATACTAAATATTATATTGAAAACCAAAAAGAAAAAAGAAACAAAGAGATACAAAAAATAATAATTTGTGTCACACCTCGAGCCTACACCCTGGACACAACTGGCACTCGAGAACCATTGATGGTCCCCTAGCGAACCCTTGGCGTGGCTCAATACTTAGCGGAAGACTTACTCAACGATAGATGAACCCGAAAGTAGAGATTTAACTCAATGTCTCAAATACATAACTCATAATATTTTAAAGAAAACAAATTTTACTGGCCAAAAGAGGCAACTCAAGTCTTAAACATTTAACAATGGAAATGAAAAGAATCCTCAAAGCACTACTGTATATGAAGCCTCTAAGTACTACGATGGATGTCGGGACAAGACCCCCGATCATCCTAACAAACTGAGAATAAAAGTAAAGTGTGAGCCCTCTGGAAAGCAAGGAGGCTCACCAATCAAACTCTGGGACTGCAAGTGGTATCAACGGAGTGCCTGTTGATGACTCTGGTTACATGTATCTGCATCATGAAAGATGTAGGCCAAATGACGTCAGTACATGGAATGTACGAGCATGCAAGGGAAATTCTAAAGCACAAACATAAGCTTGAACTGATAAGAAGGAAGAATATACTCATCTCATCTCAACTCAAGGATACTCAAATATACTCAAAGACACTCAAACTCGGAAATACTCAACTCAGTTTAATATAAAAGCAACAATAAAGATGCATTATAAAGAAAGTTTTTAAAACAGTAAATAACAACTCAATGTATTTAAAAATACAATAATAACTCTTTACACTTATTTGGGAGATTCTCTAACCGACAACCATCACTATGAGTTATGTGATGATACAACATCTCGCCCACGCTGCCAGAATTGTTCTATACCTTGCCGAAGGATAAGACATCCTCAACTAATTGGATCCACTAAGCTATGCTTAAAAGCAATAAGAAATCATCTAAAAAGTATGACCCTTTACCCATGTTGGCAAACATAGTGAGGACTTTGAGTTGTCTTAACTCGTCCCCATATCGGTTCTCAATTCTAATCCCAATAATATAACACATGCTCATATGTTTAAAAACATTTCATCATCCTCAACTTTGAGATAATTACCCAAAATATTCTCTTAAAAGAGATAGTGCTCAAAACTCCTTATGAACTCATTTGGAAATCAAGGTATCCTCTAATTTTAAATGTAAAAGTATTTACTCTTGGGAATACTTAGTTCCCATATATTCAGTTTGAAAAATGAAACTCAACTCTCCTCACCCTCATACTCAAGTACTCAAGTCTTAAAACAAGTTTTAAAATGTTGTAAAATACTTCTCAAAATGACTCGAAGAACTTCCTCAAACTATACTCTCGGGAAAAAGAATCATATTGAAAACGCTTCTGACCCAACCCCTTCCTTCGTAGAGCACGTGTATTGTAAGTGATCTGAACCTTCCTGGAGCGAGCCTCCCATAGAGGAAAGTGAAGTTGGACGACGTACTATGATACTTTCTGTTTTGTCGAGTCCTGCTTTGATCTCTGGTTTGATGGTTGTACGTGCTAAAAATCTGGTACATTCCGTTTTGTTTATCATCCCAGTTTTTCGCAACACTTCAACTTTACTTCTTTTGTTAGGTCTCGACTTTTCCGCTATGATCTTCCCAGTAGTTTATATAGAAGCAACTTTACCTTGAATTTGAATTATGAATTCAAGATTTATGACTTGGATATGCATGACTCAAGGATTAATGAAGATTTTAAGTGTGGATATCAAGTAGAAAACATAGGTACGATTTGAGGGAACTCACACGGAAAGAAGGTCGAAAGGGTAGGGGACCTGGTGACCCTGACGCACTGAGTAGCGCTGGCGCCAACCCCTAAACTATTGAAGGTGGTTTGGGGCGCACTGAGTGGCATGGTGCACCATGCCCCAAACTACTAAAAGTGGTTTGGGGCGCACTGAGTGGCGCGACACCCCACCTCTATTCTCAAATTTTGACGAATTTGCTTGCTCCAATTTCATGTCTAACTCCCCTAGAATCGAACGATTTCCCTCAAACTCTTTTGGATTCTTATACCCGACATAATTACAACGAAATCTACACCAAAACCCACCAAGAACAACACTCATTTGGAACTCTCACCTCAAAAACTCAACAAGAACTTCATTATCAAAGAACGAAGCACAAAACCTCAAGAACTCAAATCATTCAACCTCAAGAATGAAATTATGGATAAAAATCATATGATTGGCATGTGGAGGAACAAACCCAATACTATGAGAACTTACATACCTCCTAAGGATCAAATCCTTGGCGAAACTCCTCAACAATCACAAGAATCTTGAATGAATGCTTGAATTTCTCCTTTTCCTCCTCTTGCACTTCTCTCTAAAACCCTAAGTGTGTTTAGGAATTGTGACAACTGATCTAAATCAGTTTAGACCCCTATTTGGGGTAACCAAAACGTGAAAACTTAGCGAGGGTAAGAAAAAGACCAAAATACATCTCCTTAATTCGGATGAATTTCCTTAACTGGACAGGTTGAACTCAAATGGGCATTTCTCCTTCATTCGAACTCAGAATTCAGCAAACTCGGTGGTGTTGGAAAGAGGACTCAAAGATATTTCATTTTATATCTCATTGTCCACCTAACTCATCCTGTGTTATGGTCGTTTGAAGTTGACCCAAAAACTCACAATTGGAATCTAACTTGTACAACTCCCAATTTAGCTCTTTCCAGTTTAACTCTTTCTAAAATTAGCTCTTTCTAAGACTGATGTGTTACATTTTGTCATTAGTTTTTCCTTGAAATAATCCAAAGTAATTGAAAAGAGCTAAAATAAAACACTAATAAATGTTGTACTAAAAAACAAAATCCAAAGTAATTGAAAAGAACTAAAATAAAACACTAATAAATGTTGTACTAAAAACCGGTTTTTTTATAGTCAAACTTTTTTACTCCGATCATATCATCATAATCATATTATCAATGTGTATAAAAGTCTAATTATTTTTATTATATAACTGTGATTAACAATCTATTTAGTCACTTCATATTAAAAACAAGTGTAAATCTATATTCCTTTTTCTTTCTATTTCGATTCTCCCTACAGAAAATGTTACCTGAACTGAAATCAATTTCTGAAAATGGAGTATTTTCATCTTCATCTTCAACTACCTCTTCACCAATTTTCAATCCTCGTTCACAGGCCGAAAGAAATAATAAACAATTAGAAAATCAAATCGCTGATATTCATGAAATAGATCTATTATGTGACGAATCATTCAGTCAAATTATGAAAGAAGAAGAAGAGGAAGAATTTATCTCTGATGTTTCTTCGAAAGAAGTTGTTATCTCCGATGCTTTTTCTACGAATTGCATCATCTTCGCGTTGAATAAACGTAAGAAATTACATTCTGATGAAGAAGAAGATGGAAATGCAACAAAGACTATTTATGACGCGAATAAATTACGTAAAATTCATGAAGAAGAAGGACAAAAGGAGCATAATGGTCAGAATGAAAATCAAGAATCTAAACTACATGAAGAAAAAAGCGATGATGGAAACCAAGAAAACACCAATGGAGAAGAAGATGAAAACAAAGGAAGAAAGAGAGGGAACAACAGAGGAAATGGATGAAGATCAAAATGAAAGAGAAAAAATATAACGCCAATTTTCAGAACTATACGACCCTAATGTGCTGCTATGTTCTACGACTGATGAAAAAGGCGAAAATCATGTCACAAATGTCTATTGTGACTTTTATTTCAAGTTTTTACATATGTCAAATTTAATCCCTTATGTTTATTAGTTTCTCTTTTAATATTTCTTTAGTCCTTGGAATTAGTTAAGTTTAATTATTGTCTAGTCCTTAATTCTGTTAGTGATTGGGATATATAGTTGTCTAAAGGGAATGTTCTTATAGGAGGGTATTATATATCCATTGTACTACAATTGAGATTATTATTGAATATTAAGAAATTCCTCTCTTCTTTTAGATTGTTTCTTCTCTTTCCTTCCTACATCATTCTGCTGCCAACTCTATCATTAAACATTCAACCTTCTTATCACTCTTAAGTTTTTTTCAAGACAACCCTTTATGTCATCCTAAGGCTTCCCGAGCTTACCTTGTAAGTCAAACACCGCACGTATCATATTATGTTCTGTTCCAACCACCTGGCCATTGGCCACCAATTGATTCTACATTTTTTTCTTTTAGAAATATTCTAAACCCCTTTAATAGACATATAAGCCCAGTAAATAAAATATGTCTAAGACCCCTGGTCATCAATCGGACCTAAATAACCACATGAGACATGTATTAATCATCACCATATATAGCCCATAGCCATACTTGATTTCAACTTACCGTTCAAGTAACTCAGACCACTCAGGGATCCTTACGACATCTACTACAATGTTTAACATGCAAACTCGGTCTATATAAGAACACATCCGCATTAAACACAATAACTTGACTACTCATGAACCATCATGATAAATACGTTAATAAAATAACATGGTTCAATGATAGAACCATCATATAGAACACAATCAAACATGTACCATACGTGGTACCGGAGCCAACTATATAGTAACTTGTACCGCACGTGGTACTCGAGCCAACCGATAATATAACTTATATCAGGTGTGGTACCTAGGCCAACCAAGAGGTATTATATACCTGGCATGGTATCCTAGCCAATCGATAATATGTACCATATGTGGTACCAAGTGAATCAATAGTTATACAATCACAAAAAATACAATCACACTTGTAAATACATGCAAACAAAACATATTTATTGCATGTGATTGTCAACCATCAATTCACATTCAATCCTTATGTTTTCTCCAATATGCATTTTACAAGTTTCACTATAGAAATTGTTAACAGGAAGCATTGACCAAAATAAGCTATTTTAAAAATCAATTCACCAAACTAATACGCTTTATAAATTTTTACAAAAGTAGTATAAACGTACTTCATGGTAACGTTTTAGGTTATTTTTATTTTAAAAATTCAACGGACAAAAACTGACGGAGCTGACGACGTTAAATGAATAAACGTTACTCACAGTAACGTTTTAGGTGTAAAACGTTACTCACGATAACGTTTATTGAGAATCCAATCACGTCAACCCTGCAAATGCAGAATCAAATCCTGCAAATTTAAAACGTTACTCATAGTAACGTTTTACACCTAAAACGTTACTATTTTACTAAGAATTTAATCAAAATAGTAACGTTTTAGGTGTAAAACGTTACTCACGATAACGTTTATTGAGAATCCAATCACGTCAACCCTGCAAATGCAGAATCAAATCCTGCAAATTTAAAACGTTACTCACAGTAACGTTTATTCATTTAACGTCGTAAGCTCCGTCAGTTTTTGTCCGTTGAATTTTCAAAATAAAAATAACCTAAAACGTTACCATGAAGTACGTTTATACTACTTTTGTAAAAAAAATTAAAAGCGTATTAGTTTGGTGAATTAATTTTTAAAATAGCTTATTTTGGTCAAAACCTCTTGTTAACATGCATACATAACATAACTTGAAAAATAACAACCATATCTAGTGGCTCTTTCCGGACCGTTTTCCAACTTATGACCCATAACCCACCGGTTTCCACCTCTAAAATAACACCTAAAAACATTCACCAGATCAACACACCAAGTTAAGCACCCTACCACCCTAAACAACCATGATCCATAAATTCGTCTGTCCAAACTCCGCGCCCAAGGCATGTATATGTAAACTCCCAATAATTCACAAAGTAATATGCAAGTAAAAACATGTCTAACTACTCAATTAAGCCTTGCCTGCCTGAACATCAGGGAACTTCTTAAGAACTCTAAACACGAGCTTCAGGCTCAGTGGGGTGAACTGCGATTGACGTAGATAAAAAATTCATGAATTTGACCTTTCTTGTTGTAGAATCCCTCCTCTCTCCTTTGTCCCCATGCTTGGAGTAGCTTTCGGAGGATTGTGGTGCAACCCTCGTCTATTTTACCACTAAAGAGGAGGAGAAAAATTAAACGAACTCACATTTTCGAGTTTCAGCCCTGCTATAGCATCTGATACGCCGTTACAACGGCACAACCATAACGGAAATATTCCCTCTATGGGGGATGTCGTCAGTTCGGGTCAATATTAAATTCTGAGATTTTTATCGTTGCGCCCTAATTTTAAATCGATAGTGAATTTTGAAAAAAAAAAGAGTTGAACTCTGCACGAGGTGCCTTTTGAATAACGATGGATCAGATCCTTACAATAGTCAACTCATTAAACGAGTCAAGTGAAGAGCTGAGTTGGATTTATGATGATATGGATCCTAAATAATTTTAGATATTGATTTTAATTTTTTTTTTAAAAATAATTCAAATTATTTACAACTTCCACGTTATTAAATAGGTACTGAAAATTATATTTCTTAAAATAATGATCATGAAATCTAACTTAAGAAAATTGAGTAACTGTCTAAAGAAACAAAACAAAGTAGAGTTACTATGATGAACAATTACCCAAAGTCAAATGATCATCTAAAATTTAAATTATAGATTAAAAGATGAAGTATTGCTAATGACAATTAGTTAGCATATTTTAACAATGATTTACCTTTATAATTATAGTTTAACCTCGAAAAAAATTTGATTAGTTAGTTGAGTTTTCATTTTATTTTATTAGTTTAATTTAAGAGGATATACAATGTTCACAAAAGAACCCATAGCACCCCGAAAGAAGTAGCTCATCTTTGAATTCATGAAATACTGGAGTTATAATTGAGGCCGCGAAGTAGCCGCCAAAATATGTCATGTACTCAACAAGGAAAGAGCAAGTACACTATTAGTATATAAAATCCACATTATAGTGGTAGGATCATCGGTCCACTTCAGCTATAAGAAATATGAATAGGTAACCACAACTTAGTAAATCCGATAACATATATCCAATTATACCCACATAATTCTCCATGTAGTGAAAAGGGTCCGACTGAAAATTTTCATGACAGTGAGAAGAGGCAAGATACTAGTAATGCCTCAAGAGATCTATTATGTACGAATAGTTTTGATGCTTTATTGAAGACTACTGGAAAACAAGTAAGGTTAACAGAGAATGATCACGATTTGATCCAAGAAAAACAAGTCTCACCACCTGCTTTAAATAGCAAATTAAGTCCAGAAGCTCCTGTATTTGTGCCTAAATGTGTGCTTGCAAGGAAGATTAGCTAAGATTATGAGTACTTACACAAATAAGTTTAAAATATCTCGTCCAAAAGTAGCTGAATCTAGTGTCCTTCTCCAACCTAGAACGCAAGAAAAAAAAAATTAGTTGATTGGTGTTTGCTTACGTTTATTATGTTGGTCAAACTGGTTTATAAATATTATTTAACGTATTTATATACTCATTCGATAGAAGTCAAGAACTTGCATATCAAGTATTTATAAGTATCAATAAAAGCAAAAAAAGACATATAGAAGGCAACATAGTTGGGACGGTAAAATGATTGAGGAGTTTGTTCCAAGGCACCTACCGATGCGACAGGCAAAGCAAAACCATTTGACAATATCAATAGGTTCAACTAGATCCAATAAATCCATAAAAAAGATATGAATCATCAAGTGTTGTCGGATAGGTTTGAAGAAGAAGACAAGAGAAAAATACTTCAAATTACTTTTGATGGGCAATCAATCTTTTTTAATTCATACTTTAGTAATAGAAAGTTTGAGGCTGGTAACTCAACTTTCTTCTTGATTGACATATTTTTACATTATTTAAGCATCCTCATTTGTAATATCATCATGGAGTGTATTATAAACTCTGTGATGATCAGAAAATACTTAGTTTTCTCTAGCTCTTATTTTCTTCATGCTTGTTAGGTAGCAGAAGTTAGGTACTTCATTAGGATTAGTAAGGTAAGGCCTAGCCCCCCTTGCTTGTACTTGTCCCTATTGATATTTTTTATGTTTAAAAAAAAAATAAAAAAAATAAAAAAAAAATAAAAATTATACCCACATTAAAAAAATATGACCCACACTGCCAGTCCTCATCTTGATTTGACATTCATAATAACATGATCAACAACTTTACAACAAGTCAACTCAGCCCACTCATGAAATCCACACATAAACAATCACAAGTACCAGACGTGGTGCTACTTGAGTAAACCATGTAGTAACTTATACTAGCGTAGTACCCAAGCCAGTCGAATATGTACCATGTGTGATACCCAAGCCAATCAAGAGATATCATAAATCAAACATGGTACCTGAGTCAACTGTTAATATGTACCAAACGTGGTATCCGAGCCAACCATTTGTATAAACCAGGTGTTGTACCCGAGCCAACCGAGAATCACACATCATAATCACAATTATAATGAAACAAAGCACACGTGTACACCCAAGTAAACACATACATTATATGAGTATGACAACAAGCTAACATTTCAGTTTATACTCCTTTCATATCCTTAACCATACATTATATAGATAATACTACCGAAGCAGTTAGCAAGCACATATAACATAAACGAGAAACCAAACAACCATCAACTACCTCGAATCTAGTTAGAAAAGCTCTACTGAACATGTGTCTTCCCCTTGTTATGATGCCTATTTTGTTCTTGGTCTATCA